TTCTTGGCATTAGACAGAATGTTATTTAAAACAAGACATAGTTCAGCTTCAAAAAGAGAAATCATTCTGCAAAATACAGCTTGGACTCATTTGCTGGTCATTTATCATCCCTCAGAGAGTGGGGTACAAACATCTATATTTGGTATATTTTAATGATTTACAGTGCACTTGCTCTTGTTGGCTCCAGCATACAGGGAGGCAGCAGGCTCCTTAGGACTTTGAGCAGTGTCCCAAACGGTTTTGAAATGACATGGAGAATAGTAAATATGACATATGCAGAGCAGCTTGATAATCATTTATCTTCACTGCTTTCCTTCAAATATGACTGACACTGGTGCTTGGAAGCTAAACTCGACCCAGAGGCCCAAGGTTTTCTGAGGGAGGCTTGGTGTCTCCAGTTCCACACTTGAAGTATTTTTTCCTTTCCAATGTGTCTTCCATCTGCTTCAGACAGTAGGCAGAAAACAATGTGCCTAGTGCAGTGCCTGGCACATAGTCAAAACCCAACAAATATTTGTTGGGTGAATAAATAGTTAAATGAAATGCTGGCGTTATTGTCTTGGCAAGAGACCTGCCAGAGCAGACTTGAGGCAATCAGGTAATTTCCCTTCACAGTACAAGCTAATTATTTGAGAGATGAAGATCTGGTGCATAGTATTTATTTGTCAGGCTCCATTTGCTCCTAATTAAAGGTAGAAAGCTGTTTGTAGCATTGAAGAGACAACATAGTGGCCCAGTCCTAACCAGCCTTTCAATTTCCCATGCCTTTCCCATGTCTTCAGGGACAACAGATCAAGATGGATTCATATGCATTCCTCGTAGTTATTTAGGTTTTCTTTTCTCTGCTGTGTTCTAGAGGGAAGGCTAGGTGTGGAGTGAGTAGTAATTTTGACAATACTTTTACAGCCCACCTGCCTGTATGACTTCTGTAGTTGGTTCTGCCAACCTTGGTTAACTAATAAAATTTTCCTCCCATACAAATACCACCTGCAGAAATCCAAGATTTTTTTTAAAAAAAGGTACATCCTCATAAGCTTCAGAAAATTTCATTCATTCATCAATATTTTCATTCATCCGTTCCAAAAATATTAATTCTAATATGTATCAGGATCTGTGCTAAAGTTGGGAAATTAACCCTGAGCAAAATCCAACATGGTTCCTGTTCTCATGAAATCCATGATCTGAGATGATTAATGGATATTAAGGGAATAATCACACTAAAAATCTTACAACTACGAACTCAATTTTATTTAAGAAGGAATATAGCTCTATTGGGAATTGATTTAGTCTATGGAGAATTTATGGACAAGTCTAGAGCTGAGGGCTATAAATGTCTGAAGAAAGGAAAACAAAAAGAGTACCAAACACAAAGGCTTTGTAAGGAGAGAGAGCACCATGTCCTCCCAAGGGACTAAGAGGAGGCCCGGTGTGGCTCTACATGGGCAGAGCAAGGGATGATGGGAAGATAGGGCCCTACTCTGCAGGAACTATGCCAAGGCCATAATAAGGACTTTGGCCTTCATTCCTTAAACATTGAAAAAACATTTCTGACCTCCCAAGGGTTGAAAAGCAAAGGAGGGATATGTGGATCTTGTATCTGAGGTTTGGGGTGGGGGTAACTATAAATATCAATTCCGCACAAATACAACAAAAGAGATGAAGATGTGGAGTCTTGAATGATATTTACTTCAGGTGACTTCCTGGAAATTCTTGCCACACTCCTCTCCGAAGCCAAATTTCAGAGGGAGTGTACCAAGAACTCCAGTTGTCTGAATAACAGACACACATGGCTACCACTGGACCCTACACTGTGACCACACATCTGCTCAACTTTTCTAGCTCCTTCTTTTTTTTTTCCTCTGGATGATGGGGAAGTGGCATAGCACAGTTTATTCCCATTCCTGGAAAAGGGAGAATGGCATACCTGCTCTCCCATGCAGAGAACAGGCACCTCTCACTCACCTGCTGCAGAGCCAGGGTGTGTGCCTTGCCTCTCTTTTAGCCTGGCAGAGCTGTTCTGGGACTAGAGACTTAATATTTATAAAACATAAAGGGAGGACTGGCACATAGTGATGCCCAGCTAGTGCCACCCTCCGGTATTAGTTATTTTTAATGACATAGAAAGGTATTGAAGAGATATCGTTAAAGTGACAAAAAAAAAACACTACAGAAAGAATTTTCACAAACATATCCTTATAAATGCTAAGCAAATGACCCAGGACACATGGTGGTTACATGTGAGGAATGGTACTGGGTATGTTTGTAAGAGCTGATTTTTTTTCTATACACAACTTTATTTTTTATAATAGCAGAATTACAAAACATAGGTCACCCATGCTATCCAATAAGCCAATTAAAATACATAATGATATTAATATAATCTTTTTCATGCTTTTTTTAAACTCAAGTTTGAAAACAGCAATCAGAAACCTTTCTTGGGGTAAAGAAACACATATCTGAAGCCAGTAATTCATCTGGTTTTCATTTCTTTACTATGCCATAGTCAAAGGTTTTTTTAAAATTTACAATGATTCCACTATTATAAAGTTATCCTACTTGTTCTTCCACCTCTACGGATGCAGATATTTAGTTGTCTGGAATGTTGCTTCACCATCAATATAAACAGCACATTTGGCTCCTGTGAGGTTGACTTCATTGCACTGTTAAGCATTGCTTAAATTTTTTATAATGAGCATTCTTATAAAAACAATGAAATCATTTCTAAGCCTTGGCGATGAGGAGTACTAGTTGACTTTTCTGTTTAGTGAACACAAGGCTCAGCATCTAATCTTTCCCAGGGGTTTCTTAGATGATCTTTACAAGGTCAGCATGGTCAAACAGTGACTTCTGCTCCTAGAAGAGGGGCCAGTGAACTAAGTGGTCACTGGGTCAGGAAGTGGAAAATGTTTTCAGAATCTATATTAACATATAGGATGCCATTCCATATTCTTCTATTTTTTTATATGTGGGGGCTCTAAGTTTGTAAGTTGAACTAAAGATGTCGATGCATTGAATTGGTGTTTTCCAGCAGTTGAGAATCATGAAGGCTGTGCAGGGCTAGGGTATGGTGGCTTTGATCATCATTTAAATGCAACTCTACCTTGTCTCATCAGCACTCTCATCAGTCAGATAAAGCTGGAGAGAACTTGAATCCCCTAATAAATACTTCATGAAGTCAAGTGGAGCTTGCCAGTTAGACTATCATCTCAGCACAGGATTCATTTCCAAGGAGTAACTGCTTTATATGGTACTTAGCACATTGTGCCCCTCAGGACTAGGTCAAGTGCCTGTGTAGAAGAAAAACTATTTTGAAGAAATTGGGATGAAACTGATTGCCAACTGACACCCTAGACTGGAGTTGGCAAACCATAGCTCATGGGCCAAATCTTGCAATAGCCTGCCACCTAACTTTGCACACCATATGAGCTGAGAGTGGTTTCACATTTTAAATAATTGAGGAGGAAAAGTAATATCAAAATGACATCTCATGACATGTGAAGATTCAAATTTCCTTTCCTTAAATAAAGTTGCATAGGAAAACATCATGTTCATTTATTTACATATTGTGTATGACCACTGTTAAGCTATGATGACTTATTGGTTAAGCCATCAACTCATCATGAGTTGAGCAGTTGTGACAGAGATGTAAGGCTCGTGATAGTAAAAGTATTTATTATCTGACTCTTTGTAGAAAACATAACCAGGTGTGGTGGCTCATACCTATAATACCAGCTAAGATCAGGAGGATCACAGTTCAATGCCAGCCCAAGAAAAAGTTAGCAAGACCCTATCTCAATCAATAAAGCTGGGCGCAGTGATGCATTCATCATCCTAGCTCTGAAGGAGGTATAAATTGGAGGACCAAGGTCAAAGCCAGGCCTGCCTAGGCAAAAATGCAAGATCCTGTTAAAAAAATAACTGAAGCAAAAAGGAATGAAGGCATGGTTCAAGTAATAGAGCACCTGCCTGGCAAGTACAAGGCCCTGAGTTCAAACCCCAATACCATCAAAAAAAAAAAGTGGCCAGGTTTTCCAGTGGTTCATGCCTGTAATGCTACCTACTCAGGAGGCAGAGATCAGGAGGATCACAGTTCAAATCCAGCTCCAGGCAAATAGTTTGTGAGACCCCCAATGCACACACAAAAAAAAAGGTTTGGTAGAGTGGCTCAAGTGTAAGAGCACCTGACTAGCAAGTATGAAGCCCTGAGTTCAAACCCAAGAAAAGGAGGGAGGGAGGAAGGAAGGAAGGAAGGAAGAAAGAGCTGACTAATCTCAACTTTAGATTCCAGTTGGGCATATCTGTTTGCTTGTTAATTAACAATGTTTTGTGTTGGAAATCAATGTTTTGTATTGATGTGGCCATCACAGAAGATGTACATCTGAACTACTCCATCTCCTTCTTTCCTCACTTCCTTTTCAAAAGTAGAAGAAAGTTATTGCATTAGAAAAATCAGATTAGCAGGAGGGACTGTGAGAAGGATCATGGTAACCAGTGGAAAAGACCTACACATCACATGTGGATTGGATTGCCAGCACTAATGGAAACCCTACAAAACATTAGTAATCTGCCTGCATTCTGAAATTTGAAGTTATTTTTTCCTTGCATCTGAGAACTCTTTTGAGAGGCAAAATGTTTTATTCTTGTGATCCTTACAAAACATAACGCCTTATCAGACAGGACCTCTCTGTCCAGTGGCATCACCATATTGCATGCTCCCTCGACAGAACATGATGCGTGACTGGTAGAGAATATCTTGATGGGATATTCTGTGCAGTTGTTGTGACAGTTGAATTAATGATTATGGCTGACATTGACCCTCCTATCCCTCACAATATGTAAGAAAATATGAAATTTGTACAAAGCCATCCAGCTCCTAGTAGAAAATGTGAAGAGCAGTGCCATAAAATAATAAAATTGAAAACATGACTCATTTTGTTCTCAAGTTCCTGTTGTGTACATGAGTGACCTCAGTTGTCCCCTCTTGTTTTATTCTGTTTCAGAGGTTGAAGGCTGCCTTGACTCACCACCCTGCTGCCATGTCAAACGGGAATATGAACACCATGGGGCACATGATGGAGATGATGGGCTCCCGGCAGGACCAGACACCACACCATCACATGCACTCACACCCGCATCAGCACCAGACACTGCCGCCCCATCACCCCTACCCACACCAGCACCAGCACCCTGCCCACCATCCCCACCCGCAGCCCCATCACCAGCAGAGCCATCCACATCATCACTCCCATTCCCACCTTCACGCACACCCGACACACCACCAGACCTCGCCACACCCACCCCTGCACACCGGCAACCAAGCACAGGTAGACCTTTTCCATTCTCTCTCCCTTCATCTTTCTTTTGTTAATAGCATGAGCTCTAAACCTTGTTTGAAAAGCCCAGGTATTCTCTCTGTATGACATTCTGGGGATCATGGTCCATTTCCTAGGAGGTGATGGTTACCTATAAGACACTATCATTGGATCATTACAATGGGAGGGTTAGAAGGAACTTGAACCAGTAATGAAAAATGTGAATAAGGAACGAGAAAAATAAGTCTAGCTGCTATGCTTTAAAACAACATCATAGAGACTCAATTTTATCACCTGTAAAATGGAAGTTAAATACAATGAGCCTTCCTCCTGAGTAACAGGATATGTTAACAATCAACAGAGCAACAATTCCTGAAGACAAAGAAGCTGGGTGAGGGAGGTAAGGGATGCTAAGGCAGAAGGTGCCCTGCAAGTGGTGAAGAGAGGTGACTCATGCCCCGAATGTGAAGGGAGTTGGAGGAAGAAGAGAGAGAGCCAAGCTTGTGGATGATCAGACCAAGAGGAAGGCCAAATCCCAGGGGTGTAGAGTCACCAGGAGTGGCTGGAAAGAAAGCCAGGATTTATACTGAATTGAAAGAGAGTTGGGGGACCAGGCAGACGTTATGTCACCCAGGCCAAGAAGAGAAGGCGAGTTCATGTATAGGAGTGAGTTTTAGTAAGTGCATGGAAGTCACATCCAAGAGAAAGGCTAGCCCTGGCCACTTGCATCCCCAAGCAGTCAGTCTCCTCCACCCATTTCCACATTGCCAGGTCCCAACCAGCTGGGTCAGAACTGTGTCGAAAGCTTGGGACCGCCAAACACTTATTCACCGTCTTGCCCATCGTCTGCCTCTGGAGACAATACCTCATGCCAGACAGCATTCAGGACTGTTGAGACCCCTCCCCTAACACACACTGAGCCTGGAGAGCCAAAAACAAATGGCTATTCACTCAATACACTTATTTTTGCAAAGGTCTTTAACTCTAAATTAGAGTTAAGCCCTAGAGTGAAAAAGCAATTCTTTTTTCCACTGTCCTTACTGGTGACTATGGACTGAGACAATTAACTTCTCTAAACCTCAGTCTTTCCCACCTGCAAAATGGGGCTAATAATAGACAAAGCTCATTGGCTATTATGAGTATTAAATAAGATAGTCTCTGTAAAGTTTTCAAAACATGTTATCCATGATTAATTCCAAGTGAAAATAGTTCAAAGAAGGCTAGCAAATAGTTTACCAATAACAGTGCTATCCAGAGCACTGTTTTAGTCACATTTTTTGTTAAATGTTATACTGGGACCTCTATTAAAAAAAGAGAAAGAAAACTAGCAAGTCAAAGGTAGGAAATCAGTTGACCTGTGTAGTTAAGGAAAAGGAGAACATCACAGTTTGGTTGCCTTTGGGGGCAAGTTATGTCACAAACAAGTTTAATGGTTCTTTAAATATAAAAGCCATTCATTAGCTAAGTACCAATTAGCCAATTGCCCTCTGCTTCAAGTCAGTAAGTGGCCAATTGTATATGCAATTAGTTAATTGCTTTTAGAATTAACAGATGCTTTTTTATCCTATACTAAAAAGAAAGGATCAAGATTGGTCTTATTAAAACTTGAATAGGTTCATTTAGACAATATTTTAAAATACCACTATTAAAGAACATCAAGTTGGCTGGTTACTGACATCTTGTCATGTTGCTTAATCAGGAATATCTGAACAGTACGAATAGATGTATCTCAACGTCCTTCCTACTCTGAGATTCTAAAATAATTTGGAGTAAGTTCTGTCTTTCTGAAATCATAATTCTTTATTTTGTTTATCAAAATTGGCCAGGTATTTCTGCTAAGAGAATTCCATTTTAAACATAAGATGACAATTGACAATAACCACCAGGAACACAAATTCTGGTTTTAGTGTTTCATTCACAATTTTTCCTGGCTTCTTGTGATTTTCCTGCAGGTAAGGATGTGAGTTCAGAGTCCTGGTGTCATATCATGGCCCCTGGGAATTTCTCTTAACCAACACGCAGCTCCCAGCCCCAAACCCCAGACATGCACGGAGCCTGAAACCACCCTTGCAGGTGAAGGCAGAGGAAAAGTGTCCCCAGTTAGAGGTTCATTGACCTTAGGGTGGGTGTATCCATCACTGAAAGAGAGGTCCCAGTAATACAAATTAAAAACCTGCTTTCCTACTTGAAAGTCTTGTCTAACTAAGGCTGGCAATAAGAGATCCTGATTCACAAAAGAAAAGGCAAAAATAGGCACAGAGATAGTCTATTCCCAGCTAATGCCTGGCTTTATGGAGGTGGCTCAAATTTAGCATCTGAAATGACAAGTTGGCTACATCTTTGCCAATAGCAAGGATTATGTCATTGCCAGTCACTCTGGTGAGTAAGACCTTAGACAATTAATTTATTTTGTTATTCCTCTGTGATCAGGAGGAACTGAATCACCAATAGAGAGTTTCAGAAGATGTCTTTACTTTAGATAAAATTACGGAGATGCAGTCTGACCTCCCTCCTGAGCCTGATTCTTTTACAGTTAGTCATAGAAAGTTTGATAGAGTTTAGGATTGAAATATATCACCATCCATCAGCTGATGTCAACCCACAGCCATTATTAGTGCAATTACAGTCATTCTGATTGATTTCAATCATAGAGTTGAATGTGCTACAAAAAATGTTGGGCTTCATTTTTTAAACTTTTTGCCTGTTATTTCTCCAGGTTAAATGTCTCTTGTAAAACAACTTTATAGGTATTACAGCCATAAACCTGAGTGACTGAGAAATGGGAGAGAGAGGGGGAAAGAAACCTTTATTGAGAATGAAGGAGGAAGGAGTGAAGTGCATCAAAAAGCATGAGGTGTCCAGACATATAAAGAGTCAGTCGTAGAAATTTCACAAGGTGCTGTGTGTCTGCCTGGTAGAGGGAAATAAAGCCGAATGTGTGGGGATCTCCAAACCCTTAGATGTTGCTAAGTTCCATGCAGACCTTACAAGTCGTCCATAAATACAGTAAAACTTTTAATAACGTGCTTTGCCACTGCCAGGATTCCATGTTAACGTTGGTATATGGTAATACACCACTATCTCTCACTATCTCAAGTGAGTAGTATAGAGCAGGGCTCAGGGCAGGTTCAGTGTTGACTGTCTACTTTCAAAGACCCTGCCTTCCAGTCACTTAGAAAGCTCTCCAGAAGCTGCCTCCCACTTCATCAGAACTCTGGGGGGGCAGGCAGACCCATCTGGAGTCTGCAGGTCCAGTGAACGCTCTGCACTGAACTGTGAAACAGTGAAAACAGGGCTGAACCGTGTCTTACAGGGTTCTTTCTATAGGAGTCACTAGTCAGTGGAACTAGGCCCCAGAATTGTATTCTAGGGACATGGTTTTAACACCATTCCAAAGAAAGGAGCCCACTTCTACAGATAACAGATCACTCATTGATATTGTGACAATAACCTCTACCTCTCTGTTTCAACCTAATATCCATCCATTAGCGACTTTAAAGTTTTTGAAGCACCTGAAATAAAACACTTTTAACAATTGAAGGAAAAAAATTGTTCCCTCTACCAAAGCCTATGAGGGAAAAATCTACCTGACTACATCTTTGCATGAGTCCTTCTTCTATCTGGCCAAAATAGCCTAGACTACAGCTCAGTGATACATTTTTCTTTTAGTAGTGTGATTTCATTGTTTATTTCATTCATAGAAAACAAGCTTGATATGCTATGCAACTGGCATCTGTCCTGTGCTTTGCATTTTAACATCAGCTTGGATTTGTTCCCTTGCCTAATATGTCCTTCCCTGTCCCCATCACTTCCTCCCTCTCTGTCCCCACAGGTTTCACCAGCCACACAACAGATGCAGCCAACCCAGACAATACAGCCTCCCCAACCCACAGGAGGACGCCGGCGAAGGGTGGTGGATGAGGATCCTGATGAGAGGCGGCGGAAATTTCTGGAAAGGAACCGGGCAGCCGCCACTCGCTGCAGACAGAAGAGGAAGGTCTGGGTGATGTCACTGGAAAAGAAAGCAGAAGAACTCACCCAGACAAACATGCAGCTTCAGGTGTGGGCCACTGTCTCTTTCCCCAGCCCTCCAAGGCCCTGTCACAGTTGGCATTTCCTGCCCTGCAGCTCTTGGTGACCTACACAGTCCTACCACACACTTCACCCACAGAGAAACCCCAGACCTGCTCATTCTGGGACACTCTACCAAACAAAATAACTCATTCAGCGTCAATCACTACATCTACAGAGAACAGGGAGGACCCACTGAAGAAAGCCCTAGGACTGAGCACACAGGACCAGCAGTTCAAACCTGGGTTCAGCAATTATTCACTCTGTTTAACTTCTCCCATTTATAAAAGGGGAATAAACATACATACAGTTCTTAGGAAGAGTAAATGAACTCATGTCCGTCAAGCAGTTAGCATAGTGCCTGGCACAGAATAAATCTTCAACCCTCAAGCAACTGTTATAGTCACTATGTTGAGAAAGTTGCTTTGAACTGTACCCACTTACCTATATTTTGCTTTAGTGGAAGAAAGAAAGTTTATGGGTTTTTTTGTTTGTTTGTTTGTTTTGATTTTTTGCTCTGAAAGAAAAGGCACTTCAATTTTGTTTTCAAACTCAGCAAGATTTGAATCTTGCATGATCATTGCTTTTCATGAGTGGGTTTATTAGGAACATTTTATAACAAGGCCATTTCTGGGAGAATCTGGAGAGAAGAAGAAACTCCAGTACCTGGGGCTTCTCCAGAAGACTTCATGGCACACAAATGATTGACTTCTGGGCATTTGCTCTAACATACAAAAGAAAAGCACTGTTCACCAGTAAAAACAGGACAACTATATTGACATGTGACAAAATAGTCCAGGGAAAGTGTGAGAGTTGGGGATTATAACCCAGCACCTCCAGGAGCTAGAAGAGTGGCCTACAAGTAGTGGGTAGGGGATGAAAGGCCCAAAATAGGGGGACTGTATAGAAGACTTGTGAACTACTAAGGTTTCCTTTATCTTCTTCCCCCACCTGCTTCTCTGCGCATCCTTAAGAAGGATGGGGGCCAGACTCCAAAGCCTTTGCTTTTCAATTACATAAGATGGAAATGGCCAGGGACATCCACTGGACAAATAAAAAGTACATAAGGAAAGTTTGAGTTATACAGAAGCTGATTCATAATTTATGGATGTTTATTTTCCCCCTAACTATATTATTGTTTTTGTGATAGGCATGAGCAAAAAAAAAAAAAAAAAAACTGTAACCACAGTAGATATAAGGGGAAATAAAATAATGATTCCCCTTCCCCTAGCTTGCATGCCACAAAAAGTTTTACCCCTTACCTGTCATGCTTCCACTACTCTGGAACTATTTGTTGAATGATGAATGAATTCTCATCTCTGGAGTGTCAGAGAATTGGCTGTCTAACACTTGGCAAGGATGTGATTACAGAGAGTGAAACCACAGAGGAGTGGCTAGACCTAAACACCTTGCAGCCACTTCTAAAATCTGTCAGGCACAGAAGTCTGGGAGAAACTTTTAGGAAGAACATGACAAGCATTTTAATATTAGTAGTTACATATTTATTTTGATGTGCATTGAACAATGTAATTAGACCTGTACACTTGTGGCTCACGTTTGCAATCCTAGCTACTTGGAACTGCAGTTTGAAGTCAGCCCAGGCAATAAAAGTTCATGAGACCCCATCTCAATAGGGTATAAGGCTGAGCATGTTGGTGTTCCTTTCATCCTAGTTACAGGGGGAAGCATTAAATAGGAGTATCTTGGTCCATGTGAGACCTTATCTCCAAAATAACCACAGCAAAACAGCTGATGAAATGGCTTAAGTGGTAGAGTGCCTGACCTATCAAGTATAAAGCTCTGAGTTCAAACCTCAGTGCTGAAAAAAAATAATAATTAGAACATTGAACCTGCAATTTCACAATAAGAACTAAGCAAAATCATTTAAATGAGTTACTTTGCATAGAAAGTTACATTAAAAAAAAGCTCTGGTCTGTGGACCCAGCAAATGTGGCAGCAGTGGCTCTGCAAGGACTGCAGTGAAGGAACCTCAGGAATTTGTTGCCACTTCTCAGGTCTGGGGAGAAAGGTTTCTCAATCTTGGCACCATTGACTTTGAATTCTGATCCATCTTTATTGTTAGCAGCATCTTTGGACTCTTATCTATTAGATGTCAGGAACATATTGTGACATCTAAAAGTGTATAACAACCAAAAAGTTGGGTCAACCAATGTCTCCAGACATTGTCAAATGCCCCTTGGTTAGAGCAGGTGGTTGTGCAAAATTGGCCTTGGTTTAGAACCACTGTCTTAGATGAAGGAGCTGTGAACAGCCAACTGACACATGTCAGATGCCAACATTTAAGTCAGTGACAACTAAAATGGGTTCTTGCAGAATTACTCCAGGGTATTGAGCATGGTCCTAGATCATGAAATTGGGAAAGTATCAGGCACTGATATTTTGGCTATAAAATCAACACCCAAGGAAGGACCAATCTCTGAAAAAGCTACATTGTTGATATTTTCCAGCCACTTCTTTACTTCAGTGGGACAGAACTCACCGTAGTCCAGTGTTGTCTGTGATTTGAGTGTCCTGCATCGTGCCCCAAGGTGCTAAAGAGGATGCTACCCTTTGAGTGACCCTTCCACTCACTGGACCTTTGTCAAAAAAAAAGGTGTCTTTCTTATGACTGGTTCAGTGCACCAAATTTTAAGTAAACAGAAATGGAAGGTGCTAAGCAAACAAACTCCAGCCAAATGGAATATCCAAGGTCTGGATGGCCAGCTGCCATTTTTGGGTTGTTTTCCAGCATAGAACCTTCTAGTTAGGCTACAGAGTTTCAGATGGGAAAAACCAGACCTAAAAAAACAAAATCAAACCCCAGACTTCATTTCCTAGTCTCAAAATAAATTTCTGCTTGAGAGGTCAACACAGGTATAAGAATTAGGGGAAACTTAGAAACTACACAGTCCGACATTTTATATATGGAGAAGCCCAGTTTTGGGGAAATGAGGATTCTTCCCAAATGTCACACAACCAGGAAGTAGCAGAATGAGAACTCAAGTCTCCCATTGACCTAACCCACTGCTTTGTGATCCTTCATTCTAGAAAGTCCTTAAACTAGGGACCCCCATCCTTGTTTCTGACATAGAGGGCCTGAGATCACAGCTGACATGGTTTTCAGTAGGTCATTTGTGTTCAGGAGAGGATATGGAAGTCATCTGGTCACCCATGGAAGTAATTGCTTTCCTTTTTAGTGCGTAGACACATGGTGTAAGTTGCTGTTGAAATTTTAGACACACAAGCCCAGGTCTGGGACTTGGCAAGCAAATAAGCCAGATGCGAACTGTTGCTTGACAAATTGAAAGTCCTTTGTTTCAGAGGACCAAACCTTGTCTCAGCTAATCTACAAAAAAGGATTGGGGGAAGGGAGGGGAGGAATATAATGTAGGCCCCTTTGATTTTTTTTTTTTTTTTTTGGCACAAACTACTGCTTACACCAGAAAGCATTCTGGATTTATCATATAAACAAAAACAATATCCCCCAAGCCAAAACCTGTAAATGTCACTGTTAGGGACTTTTTGGAGTGCTTGGTTAAAGGATGTTACTGTAGTATTGACTATCTCTATAGGAGTGCTACTTCATCCCTAAGCAAATTTGTGGGTTTAAAAATAGATTAATCTAACCAGTTCTTCCCTCTTGTGGTCTTTATTTAAATAGCTAACTACTTTAAGAACAGCAAACCCAAGCAAATTCATTTAGAATTAGCAAGAAAATCAATTCTTATCATTTATTCTTTGCCTTTGCCAACTATTATAACTGATGTAGCAGAATTTTAAAAAGGGTGATTTTCCTCCATTCATAAAGAAAGGAAATCTAGAGTAAGAATCTGCCTCCAGAAGGCCTGGCTTTTGTTTCTCTGCTGAACTTGCAGGTCACATCTGATTTTTTTCATACATTTTGAAGCATTTGCTATCTGGTTGTTCTCTTCTAAAATGAATTCAAGGTGATTCTACTTATGTTACCTTGAAAAGGATTTTTAGTTAAAATATATTCCAGTGTTTGTGCATTTCCTCCATCAATCTTCTTTCAATCTGGAATCTTTAGATGATTGTGCATATGCATAGTGCACGCTCCATTCTCCTTTCTCCAGGGCAGTGATTCTTGTTCTTGCATAACTCAAAGAGCCCTTATGGAATCTGATGAAGGTTCCATAAGCTCTTTCTCAACAATATGAACATTTATATGGATAAGCAATTTTTTGCTGTAAAATGAAACTGTTAATGTCTCTCTGGAATCTGCTCTGATAAAACCTGGAAGAACAAGAGGTACTGGATCTGGCTTCCTTGTGAAATCTAAGACCTGAAGTGCAATCATATTTGAGAATATCAAAAGTAGTTAACTTATGAATAAACATCAAGATTGATTATTTCATTAGATAGTTCGCTTTCTCACTAAAAGGCAATGCAAAAACACTCCTGGAATCAAAAGCTAAATTTCTAGGAGGAACTTAGAGAAGTAATCCAACCAGCTTGTTTTTTATTTTGGTGCAGAAATTTGGGAAATCAAAAACCTATTCTTCTCTGTTTTGTTGTTGTTTGGTTTTGACTTGGTTTGCAGCTCTGGAGATTGGATGTGAGGCATTGCACATGGTAGGCGAGCTATCTACCACTGAGCTGAACCCCTAGCCCAGCCCCCAAACCCTACTATTTTCAAACCCTTGTTGAGTTTCTTTCCCTGTTACATGTTGCTCCATGAATTTCTGAGGTTCTTAGGCTTTTGTTTCATGCCTACAGCATAGTGATATTTACATGATATGAACAAGGTGCCTATTATTTTTTGTTACTGAAAATATTATTAGTGTTCTTTTTTCAACTGTAACACAGCTAAATAGCACAATAACTAACATTATAGTCCCAAATATGTCCATAGTTGTATATGTAAGTGGTGTTCAGTGATGCTCACTGGGTTCCTACATTTTTATATACCCTCACAACTCTCAGGACCTTGGTTTCTAAGCCTAAAGGATATTGCTTTATTTAAAAAGTATTTTTCTACTCATATTTTTCTACTAGTTTCTCAAATAGGCATTTTTATTTTATGGTTTAGAGGAGAAAGGGAAAATCTTTTGTAGGAGAGATTTTTATTACTTTGTTATTAATGTTACTCATTTGTAATTACTTATAATGTTGAATTCAGTGTTCCAAATGAATTTGGAAATGGGAGAGATTCTTTAAAACAGGTTTCAGTTTTTTAAGGTAACTTCTAGAATCCCAGGTACTTGCTTCCTCTAGGTGATGACTATGTGCCTGAAAGCAAAGCTTATATTGGGAGTGTAACTTAATGACAAATATTAAATGTCCTTTTCTGTGGGCATGATGCATATGAATATCATGCCCAAAAGCCACAGGTGATCTTGGCCAGGGAGAGAGTGTTAGAATCTAAAATTGGCTTTTTCCAGATATTGTATTTATGGTCTACTTTTATCAAGTGGAATCACCTGGAACCAGCCATCTATTCTGTGTTCATGTTTGTAGACGAAAGCTATGCACACACCTTTGTGAAATACTACATAGAGATTTAAGGCACTTATCCAAGTAAATAAGAAATAAAAATCCACAACACCCTGATATCAAGGGAATAAGGAATTTATGGATGGAAATTGGCCAAACTTGTTAATAAACTGATCAAATTAATTCAGTCATGGCCCCCAGTTTTTATTGCTGACATCTTCCCAACAGCAGGTGGACAACGTTTGCCTGAGGTGCTTCCATGCCTGCTGATAAGTGGGTATCAGGTCAGAGCAACATGCTCTGCTTAGATGTAGCCCATGAAGAGCTTTTTTGGAGAAATGGTAGATTAATCAGCCTGTTTTTATTGCTTTCAGTTTGAAGCCACTAATCCTGGGGCTTAATTCTTCCCAGTGCCTGCCTCATCTTTACTTTTAGCTTCTCCTCGTATGGAAGGTCAACCATGGCTTATGAAGGTTATGATACCTAAATTTATTGAGTACCTATTATGTGCTAGTGTTATTCTAAGTGTTTTGCCTCGATTACCTCATTTAATCCCCACAACAACCCAAAGAATTTTATGCAATTTCTATACCCATCTTATAAATGCTCTCAGTCAGGTTGGTGGAGCTCAGCTGGGTTATCTATCTAATGTTACATAGTAAGTAGAGTGAGGATTCTCACCTATATAACCCGCATCTAGAGCCCATCATCTAAAATATGTAGTTTGACCCTTTACTAGGATTCGGCTCCTTAGTTAAAATTTAGACTCTTCAAAAAAGGCTCCCTGGAAAATGTGAGGTCCACGGATATAAAGAAAAGTTTGCCAGTTTCATCTTTGAAAGTAAGGGGCTTTAGGTTTGTATCCTCTGGTCTTCTCAATGTGATTTTTATATGTCTCTTTTCAGAATGAAGTGTCTATGTTGAAAAATGAGGTGGCCCAGCTGAAACAGTTGTTGTTAACACATAAAGACTGCCCAATAACAGCCATGCAGAAAGAATCACAAGGATATTTAAGTAAGTTGCTGACTTTCACACTTTTTTAATGTACAATTTTTGGCCACTGATTTCACATTGAATTTTGCTGAGAGAACAAAAGTAAAGTGTAGGTTGCCCTTCCAGGCAGATACACTGGAATTCTTGAGTGACTGCCATACTGTTCTACCAGGGGATCCCACTTTCCTGATCCCCATCCAACACTATGCCCACAACTTCCTGATAACTTCTGGCTACACTTTCCTAGCATTTCACATTGCAAAAGCCCACCAAATTCCAACGGTGCAGCCAGGAAGGAAATAGCCTATTGGGGCCAATTACCAGTAACCTATCTGTGTTCTGGGAAACGGCATTGGGTGAGTCACTCCCAGTGCCTCAGGATACACTGCATATTACTCATTGGGCTAAAAAGCTAGTAGCCTGCTCTCAGTTTACCAATAGGTAAATGGGACCTTTCTACCTGACTCCAATTTATATACCTGCAATGTCAATAGGTACAGAAAATCTAGTATCATAAGGGATGGTGGGAGGAACACTGATTCATGGCTGAAGGTCAATTTATTTTCAAATAATTTTTTAGATTGAGCAACACAGATTCTCCCACCACATGTGAGTATTTTTCCACATTTGCTATACGGATGACTATCTGAAAATACAAGATGGGGAAGTTCACAAACCAAGACTCAAACACATCAAATCATTTGGCTGATGGAGAAAACATGGCTTTGCTTGTAGCTATAAACCAGGAAGGCATAGCTTGGTGACTTCAGTTTAAGATGAAGTTTGACTGTAACTTCCAGAAGAAAATGTTTGAAACTCTTCTATGTCAAGTAAATGTCCAGTAGTGTTTTTGCCCCCCTAAGAAGTTTGCAGGTCCCCAGAAGAAAGAGCTATATTGGTGTGTGCGTGTGTGTGTTTTTTCCTAGGTCCAGAGAGTAGTCCTCCCACAAGTCCTGTCCCAGCGTGCTCTCAACAGCAAGTCATCCAGCATAACACCATCACTACGTCCTCATCCGTCAGCGAGGTGGTGGGAAGCTCCACCCTCAGTCAGCTCACCACCCACAGAACAGACCTGAATCCGATTCTTTAAAATGCACGGTCACACCTTGCCTCTAAGAAGAGCTGCAGCATACCACACATCCTTTCTTGTAAGGGCATTTTTAGAATTAACTCAGACCTGGAAGACGCCCCAGCCCTTCAAAGACTGGCTCTCATTTTTCTACTTATTATGGAAATGTTGTCTTTTATACTTACTTATATAAGAAAAAAGGGAGTTATGCAATTAATATCTATCAGCTTGGGAAATGCTTTGGTGCTTTTCTCCAATTTTCTGGTACCAGATACTTGTTTATAAACAGAACCTTTTCTGTATATAGCCATGGTTTCATTCTTATCAGACCGACCCTTTGCCTGAAACAATGAATCTTGTTAAACCACAGTTTTCAGCCAAAATGAGGCATACCCAGATGTCAAGTAAGATGGATCCAATGTAACTGGGAAGGAAATCTGATGACATCATAACTCATGTTGAGTTTGTGCTGTGATGTCACCAGAATCCCAAATAAACATAAAGCCTTTCTGACAATTTTTTTTCCTCTTACTAGAAAAAAAATCATGATCCATTGATGTCTAATAAAACTACCCCACATCTTACCTCCTTCTTTCCTGCTCTTGGTTCATGTGCTCAAATGTCCAATTTTACTCTCCAGTTCCACTTTATCTTGGGTTCCCTGTTTACTCTTCATTTTAACTTTCTTCTATTTCATTTTTTTTCTTCCCCTTTTATCCTTGCATGTGAAGAAGAAAATAATGTGTAAAAAAAAAAAAAAAACTTTGAAAATGTGATCCTAGCCATTACTTTACTGGCCTGTAACACACAGCTGGACTGCATTCAACTCTTGCTTTTCATAAAATAATAGTCAGGAGATGTTTAATGTGCCTGATTTAATGATCTTAATAATCAGAGCAAATAAAAGGTGTTTTAGTTACAGGTGAAGCACTGTTGAATGCCAGCTGTGGAGACACTAGGGAAGGGAGCTTTGTAAAGCCCGGATTGTGAACATTCAAATTATGATGCAGGGCTATAATATCACACCCTTGAATTACAACTGGTTTTATATGGCCTGTCTATAATGTTGAAAACCCATGTACTATATAATAATTCAGAAGGGCTCTACTCACTACACAGATTACATTGTTCAATCATCAGCTGTTAATAGCCTCAGACATATTATTATTTTTGTTTGTTAAGCCTACAGAACCAGCTATGCTGTGCTGGTAAGAGAAACAGAGAAAGCAAGCCCAGTGTTTCCACAGGGTATTCTCAGCCTTGCAGAACGGTGACAGCCTCTTTGGCTGCTGATGGAATTGTATGGACATGGCACAGGCTGCACCATTCTTCTGAACAAGTCTGATTTATATTTTCAACTTATGTGGACTTGCCCATTTATAAAAAGCAGATAGGACCCAAATCACAGTGTGCCTCCTTGAAACAAGCCATTTTACTGTGCTCGTGTTTTAGTACTGTTTCACAAATAGTAGGGACTAATGTTTCTCGCTAGCAGTCCAGGCAGATGCTGGTGTCTCATCTCGATCCTAACCTGTGTGTGTGTGTGTGTGTGTGAGTGTGTGTGTGTGTTTATGGGTTTTAAAAGAACAGTATTTTACAAAAGGTGTCGCTTTTATAAGAGTTCAGATAAAGAAGGATGTGGTTTTTTTTTTTTTCCTCTCACTATAGTTTAAAAATCTATTTTGGAGAAAAAAAGAAAATATGAGGGCTGTAAAGCATGATTTTTATAACTCATTTCAGTTTTATCTAATAACTTACTTTTTAAATCAATATTTATCAACAACAATCTTTCCATTTTTGTAGTGCTTTTGAGCGACAGTTTTGAGTGTTCAGTAAAATGTAGAACTTGGAAATATGGTCTAAGAATCAAATCAATGCAAAAAAGGAAAAAAAAGAAAAATGAAAACGAAATAGATTTTTTATTATATTTTAGGCAAACATATCATTTCAAGTATTTTAAATACTGAATTCATATTTTTTTTTAATTCTGGCAGTAGCAGAATGGTTTAACCCGACTGGCTTCTTAAGAAATGTTTTAAGACTTAGCTTTAAAAAGACATTAATTTTTGTATCTGTTTTGAAATTCAAAGTAACTTTCCCAAAATTCCCTCCTTAGACCATCTGTGTGTCCCCTATTCCCCCTCAAAGAAAGAAAAAGGGCAAATTTTGTAATGATTGTTTAGGGGTTTTTAGTTTTGTAATTTTTATTTTGTTTTGCTTTAAGTAAACAAACACTTTTCTTTCTTTACTGCATGCATAGCACTTCATGAAGTGGATTTGTTAAAAATCCACTGGTAATGTCAGAATGTCCGGGGAGTGACCTGTCACTAAAATTATGCTTTTATTTACTTAAGTTCCACCTCTTGACTGGAATATTTAGTTGTTAAACTGAAAGACTCTGCAGTTAAGAACTTCCCCGCATTTTTCTTAGTTCAGCAGCCCGACGGTTTGAATGATGTACATTATTTATAGCTCAATTATGTCTGTTTTTTATGCTAAGTAGGCAAGCCAACCACACACGTTAGCAAACCTTCCTCAACATATAATTAGAATAAGCTGCCTTGTTGTTCACTCAGGGCCTTCAGGTGTGCTCATGCAGTGTGAAAACACAGTCAATGAACAGGTTAGCTAGCTGACAGGGCTTCTGGAAACCCCAAACAGAAAGGTTCATTGGTCAAACCCAACACACGTTGGAGCAGTGTAAGGATTTCACCCAAAGGCCCAGGCTTTACCCGATCACAGAATCTGCCTGAAATGCCCTCCTACACTTCTTGCCTAACTTTTGCCAATCTAGGAGACCATCCTTTTAAACTCCATCGTTCTATAGCTAGTTACTGTGTCACCCATGCATACTTCCGTGAATCAGTGGCAATGGCCCTCAGAGCACCCATCCTAAGGAGGAAAGGATGCTGCAGCAGCACCTTTTGTCACTTCTGCATGGCTTACTTTACCATAGGATCTGCCTCTGAAGTCCCTGCCAGTCTCCTGGGCACTTCTTCAGGATCTTCCCTGCCTTATGTGCTGGGAGCTAACAACTTAGACAGTATACCTCTGCCAGGTGAATTCTCACCCAAATGGAAGCGTCCACATTGTTTCTTTTTGACATGTTTCTCAATCTATGATGCTGGGACAGGTAGTGTGGAAGTCCCAGCCATGGATGAATGTACTAAGTTCAAAGCCAGATGTTAAGTCAGCTGTTTTCCCTTTGCAGTCCTATGTACCCTTCTCCTACTCCCACGTCAATGTGTGCAAGTCGCCATCTCATTGTAGCCTGCAGCGCGTGTCATGGAATACATTATAGTAACTGGGGTGACTTACCTGGAGCAAATGCTCCATGGAGCCTATTTAGTCAGTAAATAACAATTCAACACCTATTTTGAGAGAGCGGTGACAATGGTGAATGTTCGGGTGGTTGTTGCCTGCTAGTAAAGAAAATTATAGTGAGTTAGTTGAGTTTGTCATTAAAATCCTAAACCAGCTATGGTAAAAACCAGCCTTTGGCTAGAGGGTTTTAAGTATCAGTAACTGCTCTAAAAATATATATGTATGTATGTGTGTATACCGTGGAATTCAAGGACCAAAGCAGAATTTGAACAGGAATCTATTAATTTAGAATTTTATAAGATATTTATTAATAAATGTTATTTTTAAACATTCCATTTGAACAGTATTCTTCTGTAGGATCTACTTGTTTTTAAAGTATTAGTCCATAATGAATGATTCTAGTTGTGTGTATTTTCATTTTTCAGGGTTTCAAATGGCTATTCTCCATCATTTGGTGGAAATGTTTGCTTAGATCTCTGTGTATAGACATTTTGAGGAATTTTTTTTTTGCTCTGTGAGTTGTTAATCTCCATTCTGAACAGGTTTTTTTTTTTCATTTATTTCTTCTTTTCATTTTTAGAGAAATTTCTTTCATTTAGGAAGCAGAGTTCAGCTAAAGGGAATTAGCAACTATAACTGGAAAGCTTTCTTATAAAAGCATAAGGACAACTTCATCTCTGCTTTTTCTCCACCGCACCCCAGTATCCTAGAAGGCCTTGCAGTACTCAGTTTCCTTGGAGCTGCTGGTCCCTTCCTAAACAGTATCTAGTAGCATTAAGCCATTCAAGCTCCATTATGCAGTGTATCTGAGAAGGGAAAGGAAACAACCTGTTCAAATTTGAATAAAACTGTGCCTATGCGAATAGTAGCAATTTAGAACCTCTTTTCTTGCTTTTAAAATAATTTATATTTTTAAATTGCACTTTAGCTTTTTTGATCCCTTTCCATTTCTCCTGCTCTCTTTCTAACTTCTTCCCTGTCTTTAAACTTGCCTTTCTCTTCCCTGTACAGCTCCTCCACCTGTCCTTTATGGCTCCGAGCTGCAACATTTAAAATACTTTGCAGGATATTTGCACCAGGTACAACTGTGTGCCTTCGTTAGTAGGGTAGCTACCATGTTTCTCTTATCAGCCTAGGGGAAGCCTACTACAAGAATGCCAAGAAGAGCCAGTTCATTGTATGCTTTATACTCTTTGTCCCCTATTCATAGCATGTTTTTTAATGTTATATTATGCAACAGATATGAGGCAGCAGCGAAACTACACTTAAGAGTTTTCTATCTCATCCTCCAAACCAAAGTGTCCTGAATAAGCTAGGAGACTTATTCTTTTGGGCTTCATGGTGCACATTAGACTGTTGTCCTAGCCATAGTCTCTCTGAGGCCTCTGAAGTAACAGTGGTTCTCTATTTCATTTCTTGGTCTCAAAAATACAATGTTGCCTTGTAACATGATTAGGTACAACACCTCTGTTTTACAGTCTAAGGAAGGGCAAGAAGACACAGGAGCAATAAATATACAAGTAAAATCCAATACCAAAACAAACACAAAGAAAATTAAAAAACAAAAAACCTAGCTCGTCATGTTGTACAAATGAAAAAGCAGATATCCATTCAAAATATTTTACTATTTCTTGTGGAGTTTTTCGGTAATGCAAGGCTTGTAGCCAAATTGCAGAAAGAGTGTTTATATATTTTTTCCCTTATAAATCATCTATTTTTTGAAAAAAAAGATACTATTTAACTGAAGACTGAAGAGGGGGGTAAAGCCAAATTGCCAGCATTTGTTGAAAGATTCATACTCTTAAGTGGCACTCTGATGCCTTTCCAAGCTTGTCATCAGAAAGGAATCAATAATTATCAACTGCTATAGTTAAAACAACTAACAATATCTAGCTCATTAAAGCCAGGATCTAGAAAGCTCTTCCTTAAGCCACTTAAGGTTTTTCCTACATTGAAGTTGATGTTACAGAACTTTATAGGGTTTATTTTTTAAAGATAAAATCATTTACCCTTAGGACTGAGAATGTGGGACCTGCATAAATTAGCTTTAAATACATCATTAAAATCTTCCACACAATAAGCTCATTCGATTCTAGTTTGCTCCTTTAGAATGCCAATGCTAGGGAAGCTTAGGAGCCAAGGAAAGGTTCAGTGGCAACCAAGTCGGGGGATTAAGAGAAAGACCCTTCCCAAGCAGCCAGCCAGCAGACAAGAAGACATGCTCCCCTCTTCCTTTCTAAACTCTGTTACTCCTGTCTGCCTCACAGAGAGGAGCGCTGCCTTCAAGGATTGTTTCAAAGATAAGCTTGAAATGTCCTCCCCAGAGAGGATATAGGGTATGGGATCATCTAAAAAGACCCAGAAAAATGGCTCTGTTCAAACACAATGTCCTAGGACAATTGGAATATAAATATTGTCCAAAAAT